CAGCGCAAAATTTTGTGATTCACGCGATCTAGCTAGACCAAAGCACAGAATTTCGCAGTTCATGTGTTCCCACTAGATTGAAGTGTGGGAGTTCTGGTACAGTGAAAACTTCATTTTCACAATCACATGAGAATTTGACAATGCAATTCTACTCTGATTCTGATTCAGCATGAATTTTTATTCCTTTTTTTCGATATTCTTTCTATTTTCTTATTTCTAAAGGGTTTTTTTTTAGGCATGAGACTATTTATGTCATTTTTTATTTCCTCATACATTTAAGTTTGAGTTGAGTATTTTGGAGATGTTTATTCTAGTTCTGCCCCAATGGAATGTTGTATCTTTTTTCTTTTGCAAGTGGTGGGTCTATATTTTGTACAGAAATTTGTGTTGATGATGCCGCCTTATCACTAAGAATAGAGGAGCCTCAATTGTTGGCATTGTCAGCCCCTTTGGTCTTAGATTAGGAGGTCTTGAAGTAAGAAAGTGAGATAGATAAGGAATTGAGCAAGATCGTTTGGCTTCATTGAATGATGAGAACAACTACCCAAGTTATTCACAAAATGACCAACATTACCATGGACACTATGGATTACCCAGAACTTCAAGACACATATCGAAGTTATTATAAGAACTTTATGGCAGCGCTATCAGGGGGCATTCGGGTGTGTTCAAAACATAACGGAGGATAGCATTAGAATTATATTTAGTGGGAATAAAAAAGGATGTGAAGAACATGGTCTCAAGGTGTGATGTGTGCCAACAACATAAGTACATGGCGGTAGTGCCTGGGGATTGCTACAACCTCTAACATTACGAAAGATGGTATGGGAGGCGGTGATGATAGAATTCATTAAAGGCATGCCCCGTCAGAAGGATTTACAGTTATCTTGGTGGTGATGAACCAGTTAAGCAAGTACACTCACTTTGTACCTCTATGTCATCCCCGCACTGCGGTTTCTGTCACCAATGTTTCTATTCGTGAGGTTGTTCGCTTGCTTGGGATCCCAAAATTGATAGTTCCTATATTAACATTTGTCACCAAAGTTATTATAGGAACTTCATGGCAGCGCTATCAAGGGGCATTCGGATGTGTTCAAAACATACCGTAGGATAGCATTAGAATTATATTTAGTGGGAATAAAAAAGGATGTGAAGAATATGGTCTCAAGATGTGATGTGATGTGTGCCAACGACAGAAGTATATTGAATTAGCTCCTGGGGATTGCTACAACCTTTAACATTACGAGAGATGGTATGGAAGGCGATGATGATACAATTCATTGAAGGCATGTCTTGTCAGAAGGATTTACAGTTATCTTGGTGGCGATGGACTTGTTAAGCAAGTACTTACTTTGTACCTCTACGTCATCACTGCATTGCGGTTTCTATCATTGATGTTTCTATACATGAGGTTGTCCGCTTGCATGAGATCCCAAAATTGATAGTGTCGGATCGAGACAAGATCTTCTTTAGTCATTTATGAAAGAAACTGTTTAGAATGCAAGGGATCTTATTGAAGTAAAGTAGAGCATACCACCAACAAATTGATGGACAGTCCGAAGTTGTTAATCAGAGCGTAGAGAACTATTTGTGTTGTTTTGTATCAGATGCACCAAAGTAGCGGGTGTTACCGGAGTTAACCCAAATAATGATAGGAAAAATAAATATTATTACTGAAAGTAATATGTGGTTATAACCAACACACATGATAGAAAAAATACAACACGACACCCAGAAATCTAAAATAGCAATAGAGACGACACAAACACTTAACTAAGATGGATCTAGGGTGGGGTTGGTGGCCGATATAGGCTCGGAGAGGCAGTAGCAAGGGGGTAGATGGATTTGACAGTTGAGAAACAGCGGCTAGGGGTGGCTCTGGGCCCCAAAAAAAACAACTAGGCTGCGGAGAGGTTGTTGTGGTGGCTGGAACAGCAAAGAGGCGGCACGGGAAATGGCCTTAGGCAGCTGGAATAGCAATGGCACTGCAGAGGAAGTGTTGGAACAGCAGCGCAGTTCATGTGGCTGGAACAGCAGTGGGGGCAATGGGCTTACGGGGTTGCTGTAGCGACAGAGGTGCCGGAGGAATGATTCGAGTGACTGGCAGAATATGTGGCATTTGGAAGAGCAGAAACTGTAGGAAAACAGCAGAGAAGTGGTGGCTACATGAAGGAATGCAGGTAGTAAAATGAGAGGGATGTCTAGGAGTTGTAGAAGGATAAACACCACCTCGGGAGAGAGATACAAATAAAGCATCACTCGAGTTATGGAGGAGAGTAGCCATCTTGGAACGAAATATAACCGGACACCACTCGCTCTCGGATAGAACCCTAGAAGTGAAAACTTAGACGTCAACAGTTTTCCTTAAGAAAAAAATGAGGAAACTACCCTAGAACGCGAAAATAACATATTTATAAACTTAGGGTAAATAGAAGTGTATCCCACTCCAAATAAAAGGAAAATCCATGTGGTGGTCGTGCGGTGATTTAGTGTCTTCATTTTTTAAGCCGATGGTTTGCACATCCAATCTGTAGTAGAGTAAACTTAGACGTCGATGGTTTTTCTTATACAAAACACTTAGAAAAACTGCTCTAGAAAACGAAAATAATGTATTTATAAACTTCGGGTAAATAGGAGAGGATCCCACTCCAATAGAAGGGAAATTCGTGTGGCGATCGCCCGATGATGTAGTCTCTTCACTTTTGAAGACTGGGGTCTGTGCATTCAATCTGTAGTGAATTGCTAGGTACCGACACTGCATCTCTCATTTCATTTTGGACCAAGTAGTGATCTTATCTTTTCCCCCACACAAACATAGGTGCTACAAATATTACCACAAAAAATAATACACACTCTTCTTTAACTTGTTGGGGGCTAGTTTCACCATTTTGTTCGGTGAGACATCCTGGTACTCAAAGAAATTTTTCACGGTCTGAAGTTGCTCGATAAACTTATTTGAATCCAAATGACCGATAAAATGTCACAATTCCACCATTACCTCAAAATCCTGGCTTCTTAGATAATTCAGGTCAATTTTTCGGGTAGAGACTCTTCATCATTAAAATTTCTAAGAGGCACTTCATATGTGTATCCTATAACAGGAACTTCATCTCTAGATCCTCTAGCTGGCACTACATCTCTATAATCGGATGGAGTTCAGGTGATCCCACTAGATGGTCATCTTTTCTCAAATTTACTGAGTCATTGTAGCACTCGACGGAGTTATGAGTGTAACTCTTCCGTGGTAAACTCTTGATTGGCGTATGACACTTGTCTCGAAGGTGGCGTGGTAAGGATTTGGGGTTTTGGTATGTGAAAGAGGTGTATAGTGTTGGTGTAGAGTGAAAGGATACTTGAGTGGAAAATGGGCGTGGGGCTGGGGAATGCTAGAAACTTTAGGATAAGACAAGGATAAGACAAGGATTAGGTAAACACTAATACCAGAAAATGTCGAAATTAACCCAAACAGTGATAGGAAAAGCAAATATTAATACTTAAAGCAAATAGGTGATTATGATCAATGCACTTATATGGAAAATACAACAAAATACCAGAAAATTTTAAATAGCAACATATAAGACACAAACACTTAATAAGGGTGGATCTTGGGCGGTGGTAGTGGTCGATATAAGCCTGGAGAGGCGATTGCAAAGATAATGGGTGGATTAGAGACAGTGGAGGTGGTTGATAAGCTGAGGACTGCAGAAACAGCAAACCCGAGCGTTGTTCGAGCGGGTGCAACAAGGAATGGCGACAGGAGGTGTGGAAGGATGTGAAAGGAAATAAAAGGAAAATAATCACTACCTCGAAAGAGAAATACAACCAGAGCAGCACCAAATCCTTCAGATACAGCCCTCGAAGACAAAAACGGACGTCGATGGTTGTCCTGACAGAAATCTAAAATCTGGAATTAATCAAAACCCAACTCTAAGCAAGTAAAACCACACATATATAATAGCTAATAGATAAAATAGGAAAGAATTAGAATAAAAAGAAAATAAAATTAGGAAAGGAATAGAAAAAAGAAAGGGATCAAAAAGAGCAAAAAGGGGTCGCGTTAGCTGCTACAATACCGCGGCCTGTTAAGCTCCCGCGTCAGTATGTGATCATTGTCTTGAATCATAGGATTAGCATTTGGGAGAGAATTGCCTACCTCTCAAATCATAGGTTTATCTTTTATGTATTTGGTAGTGCTATTTTGTGTCGGTGAAGTAAGATATTTTATTTTGGCCTAATCTCATTGGAAACTTGTCTCGTTTCTATCAGAATAATAGATAAGAAGATGATTCAGTATTCAATTCATCACTCAACTAATCAAATACGTACAAACTAGTCATCCCTATTTATTGAAAAAGGCTTACAAAAGATAAGCTTGATATAAAATCAAATCTTAATTCAACTTAAAACCTAAAAGGTTAACCAGAAAATAGTGTTCTATAATTTCTGATGAAAATCAGAAAACACAGGACTAGGTTCCTAATAATTCATCTATAACTAAGTATTGAAGGAAAACCTCATGTGTAGGGAGTCAATCAAGCAAATCAAATACTCCCGTGATCTTTACCCCATGTGTAAGATGTCAATCACGTAAATCAAATCCATCCAAGATTTTTTAAATGTAAAAACAAAATATTAGTATTTGAATTACTGTTCTGTTATTATCAAGAGATGGAGTTCCAATGCTACAAAGTAACAGAAATGGAATTTTAACCTCGGAAACCATATCTACTCTGTACCTGCCAACTGCCAAAACCATGGCAGACATACAGAAAAATGAGAATTAGCATTAACTTTAAAGATACAGTTAGCTTGTCATCTTAATAAGTCACCATGCAAGCAAAAAAATACCGCACTTAATTTAAAATTGAATTTATTAAATTGCATGGCTGATTGGGGCTCAGCCAGTAAAAGTACAACAAAAGAACAAAACAATAATAACACAAGACTACAAGTAGAAATGAAGATTAGAGAAAACTTAATCAGAAAATATACAAATAAACCTGAAAGGTTTCTCTTATCAGGGAGTAATCCAAGCCATCCTCTTTTGCTACCGTTGAAGAAATCCTTCGTCTTAAACCATCTATTCGAGTTAGAAACAATTCTAGATACTGCCAACACAACGGAGTAAAATAAGTAAATTAAATATTAAACAAGAATCAAGAAAACTGGATGTGCTGCATAAAGAGGGAATAGGACCAGTTAAAAAGACAGTAAAGTCAGAAGCATGCCATCTAAAGTTGACCACGTTGACAATTGGCGAACATGTTAACCATAGTTTGTTAGAATCAATTACCTTTAGAAACTGTTTTTTAAAGTTCAAGTGAAACACACAATTTTGAGTTCCTATTTTGCAAAGCATGAGCTGACAACTTAGGAGGAGGCTTGTGTACTCTCTCTCTCTCTCTCTCTCTCTCTCTCTCTCTCTCTCTCTCTCTCTCTATATATATATATATATATATTCAAAAACAATGTTTTCGTTTTCGATTACGGCTTTGCTAGGGTTTGCGATTCAATGGCGACGCGGGTAATCGTCTCTCCATGGCTCGTTCTTACGCCGGCGGTGTTCCAAACTTCCCTTCTGCCTTTCACGATTCAATCGCGCTCGGTGATGAGTCTTCTATCATTCGACGAACGGGCGGGAAAGGGGGTAAGGTAGCTCTCTTCCTCTCTAACGCCGAAAACGTCGATCTCGCCTCTTCTTGCCGCCTCTATCTCGTAGGAAAGTTCTTGTATGGGCATCCTAAAATGGAATTCCTTTGGAAACATTTCGAACTAATGAAGCTTTCTGGAGGTTGGAAGATAGGACCCTTAGATGGAAGGCATATTTTAAATCAGTTATCCAATGAGGAGGACTATATTCGTTTGTTTGCTAAGCGGTTAGTGTGGTTTGAGGATTGTGCTATGAAAATCTTGAAATGGTCAGCCAACTTCGATCCCAAAGCTGAGGCTCCGATTATCCCTGTTTGGCTTCGGTTTCCAGGTTTGAAAGTCCATTTTTTTAACCACGAAATTTTGTTCTCCTTGGCAGCTATGTTCGGGAGATCCCTTAAACTTGATGCTTCCAGTTATAATATCTCAAGACCGTCTATGGCTAGGGTTTTAATTGAAAGGGATGTCACCTTACCTCCATCTGATGAGGTTTGGATTGGTTCGGCTCACAATGGTTACAGGTAACAGATTTTATTAGAACATCATCCCTCTTACTGTACTCATTGTCGAATGTTTGGCCACGGTCCGGATCAATGCTTTCGTCTACATTCTGAGTTGAGGAAAGGGGGAAGTATGAAACAGTCACATGTTGGGCAAGCGCCTCTGCCTCATGCGGAAAATAATATGGATGCTCCGGCAGCTGCTACTGCCGAGACCTCTCAACCACTTGTACACCCTGTTTTGGTTCAGCACGAGGGACAACCCCCTCAACATGTCTCCCATGTTGGGCGAGTTGAGCAGATGTTGTCTGTTGTGTTTCCTCCTGTTATTTCTAATACTAAGGGGGCTCGAATTTCTTTGGTCTCTCTCCCTGATGCTATGAATACTGATAATAATTTTCCATATTCTCATCACTCTAATGCTCTTTCTGACACTCCATTGGAGGATATTTCTTAAATTTTAAGGGATGAATGGCATGTTCAAAAGTACCGCCGGAGAAAGTATAGAGTTCAAAAGGAAGCTCATAATCACAATAGTGGGAATAATTTGTTGGATATAAATCACTACTTTTCTGATGGAGAAAATGGACAGACCCGACCTAGATCTTCTATGAAGGGTAAAATTTCTACTCATGTTTAACATCCTTATTTGGAATATCAGGGGAGTTGCGGATCCTCACTCCTTTGGTAGACTTAAATTAATGACAAGGATTCATAAGGTCGGCATTTTTGCTATTTTGGAGCCTTTGGTTTCCTCTCCGGATGACTACATTTTGGATAAATTCAAAAAATTTTCTTTGCTAATTATTTTAATAAGATTTGGTTGTTTTGGCGGAAGCATAGCATAGTTGATGTCCTTATTGATAATAGACAGTTTGTGCACACTTCTTTCTCTATGAAGGAATTTTTGGTTGCCTCAATTTTGTTTATGTCGAAACTTCTACCACTGCTAGATACAATCTCTGGCACAAATTATCTGATATGGGGGTCATTATCTATCAGAATTGGATGGCGGGAGGAGCTTCAATATGATTATGCACAACTCTGAAAAATTGGGTGGTCGAAGAATTGACACCACTTTAATTGATAAATTCAATGAAGCTTTGGATTTGGCTGACATATCTGATCTAGGCTTTGTTGATTCTAAGTTCCTGGAAAAGGTTCAAGCTTTTTGAACGCCTTCATAGATGTTTTGCTAATCAATTGTGGATATCTTCTTATGGTTACTCTCAAGTTCAGCATCTTTCTTGATCTGGGTGTGATCACAGTCCTTACTTCTATCCTTCGATTTTTTCAAAAAGGCCTCCACTTATCATTTTCGTTTTTTAAATGTCTAGGCAAGACATGATGATTTCTTGAGAGTCATTGCGTCTAATTGGAGGTGTGAGGAGGTGGGCAATGTTTGGTTCACTCTCTGGAAGCTTCATAAAAAGGTAGCTTCTGCCTTAAGGACTTGAAACTGTGAGGTTTTCGAGGATGTTCATGCTAGAGTCGGAAGAATTGAACAGAGGGTAAGTCTCTTACAAACTCTTGATGAATCTTTTGATGATATATTCATGATATGCAGGAAGCAAATAAAGAATTATTTGAGGCCTCCCTTTGGGAGGAGGAATTGTTGCAACAAAAAGCTGGGGAGAATCATTTTTCATAAGGTGATAGGAACACCAAATACTTTCATGCTTTCATTAAACAAAGACGAGCCAATAACACCATTGTGAGGATTAAAAATAATGAGGGGTTCTGGATTACCGGGGATGAGGAGATTGGAGAGAGCGCTGTTCTCTATTTCTCTAAATTTTTTTAGCATCATGACACGTCGGGCTCTATTGATGCTTCTTTATTTGATGATGTAAGACATCATATGGTGGATCTCGACCTCTGTGGTATCCCCTCAGTTGAGGAGATTTATTCTACTCTTCTGGATATCAATAGCAACAAAGCCCCTGGGCCCGATGACTTTACTTCTGCTTTCTATATTAAATACTGGAGTATTGTTAAGAAAAAGGTTATGGAAGCTATCCAGAGTTTTTTTAAGGGGGAGACCCCAGGGAATTATTTCTCTGCTGCTACTATTGTCCTCATTCCTAAAAACACTCAAAAAAAACATTTGAGATCATTTAAGGCCAATATCTCTGACCACAGTTATTTCTAAAATGATTAGTAAAATTTTGGTCGGACGAATTCAACATCATCTCCATAAATTAATATCCTCGAATCAATCTGTTTTTATTCAAAGGCGTGGGATCACATATAATATTATGCTTGCGCAGGAACTTATTCTTGATATTGATAATAAATGTAGAGGGGGAAACATGATTACTAAATTGGATATCCGCAAGGCTTATGATTCTGTTAGTTGGGAGTTTATCTTGCAGGTTCTTAAGGCTCGAGGCTTCGCTCAGGATTTTTGCAAAATTATTCTCTTATGACTCCACTGCAATAAATATAGCATCCTCATCAATAGTCACTCGGGGCTTCTTTAGTACGGGACGTGGGATTAAGCAGGGTGACCCCTTATCCCCTACTATTTTCATTTTGATATTTGATTATCTCTCTCGCCTTTTAAATGATCTTTTCAGGCAAAACCCTTTCTTACAATATGCTCATAAATTCAATACGTTAGTAACGCAACAGGCTTATGCCGATGACATGATCTTATTCTCTAATGCTAGCAAACAAGCGGTGAGGAAAATTCACCATTTAATGGTTAATTTCCAATCAGTTTCTGGCCTCCTTTTTAATGCCAACAAATGCAACTTATACATGGGGAACACGGTCAATCGTTCTAATGTGTGTTGAATTGTCAACTTTACTGGTTTTTCTCTTTCTACCCTTTCACTTAAATATCTGGGAGTTTTTTTTTACTTGAAGGCAGGAAAAGGTGGATTAAGAGAATTAAACTCTTAATATCTTAAATGTCTGTTATTTGGAGTTTCATTTATCGAGACGGGAATAGGCCCGCTAATTGGCTTGCTATCTTTGGTAGCACTAGTAATAACTGTTGGGTGGGATTCGTTCCCCCACCTCTTTTACTCACTTTGCTAGTTGGAGACAAGATTGATGCTCCTTATGTCCGTCGTGATGATTCCTATTAGCATTTCATTTTGGTGGTTTTGTTTGGCCTTGGCTTGACCAACTTTTGGGACGGACTAATAGGCATTTTTTCAAGGTTTGCAGTTCTCTTCTCTTCCCCTTTCTGCTGGCTTTTTTCTGTTTTAGGTTGGAATGGACCCACCCTCGCTATTTGATGAATAGGGTCAGTGGTTGTGGTTGCTCCTCGACTGCTCTTTATCGTCTATACCATTACGTGGTCCCTAGCTCTACCTTCCGGTTTTGTGGTGTTTTATTTATCACCTGCTATTTAGTTCCTACGCCTTGATTGCTTTACCAGCTCTTGCTCCTTAGGCAGAAGAGGCTTCCTCTTGTGAAACTATTTTTCTGCTTTGTTTTTATGTTTAATTCTCTGAAGCGGCTCTTTCATGCTCCCTTCAGGACTACAAAGTTGAATGTGTGCTAGAGGAACTCTTCTCTTCCTACTTTTTGTTTTCTGCAGGATCTTCATGTGGTTAAAGATGCACATGACTTTTTTGGAACTCAACTGTATGTGTATGTCGTCTCAACGAACTCACCGTATCATTGGAGCTATTTTCTCAGATTTTCAGGTGTCATTTATTTGTCTTTCGGTGTACATCTTTATGGGGTATACTTTCTTTTTGGTATACTGCTTCTCATGTATTTTTAGGTACACAGTTTCTTTTATCATTTTTTGGTGTGGAGTTATATTATGGATAGAGAAACCCCTAGGAACCTCTTCTTTATTTTTAGATGGGGATCATCTTTCCCTCCCTCTTTTTTAGGTTACTTTTATATTAACACGTAGGGAGCTACGAGTTGTTCTTTTCCCCAAATATATATATGTGTATATGTATGTATATACATGTATGTATGTATATACATGTATGTATGTATATACATGTATGTATGTATATATATCCACGATGTCGGCTACGGTCGAGAGCTCCGCTAGGAATCATCATTACATATATATTTAAATTTACTCCATAATTATAATTACACTAAATACTTAAATTTACTCTAAATACTCTATAATTGTATACACTAAATACTTAAATTTACTCCATAATTATAATTACTTTTATATATTTACATATATTAATTAATTTAATATATAAATTTATGAACATTTTTAACAAACATGGGCAACATGATCATTTTTCCAGAAACAGCTACCCCAAAGCTGTTTTCACACAGCTGCACCAAACAGGCTACCAGCAGCTGCAGCTTCTGCAGCTGCGCCAAACAGACCCTGAATGTCTAGTCGGTCACTTAACTTCAAAACACCACTTCATGTTTTGATGGTTGCCTATCCTTATATCAAAGCATTCTTTTTTACTATACCACGTAAAATATTTTGGTGTGCATCCTTTGTTTACATTCATTCCCTAATCGCACAAAAATTAACCTTAAATCTATCAAGTGTACATTCCTTGGATATTTATCCCAAAAAAAGATATAAGTGTTACTCTCATATTACTATAAAATACTATAACTCCATGGAAGTCACTTTTTAAATCAATCCTACTATCTCAAATCTGATATTTAAGGGGAGAGAGAAAATGAACAATAATTTTGTGATGCACTTAATGAAACCTTTATGATCACACAATCTACTCTTCCACCTAATCCACACATATGAGAAGTTTTGAAGGTATGAATCTCATAATATTATGTTGTCTCTATACATTCAGAGCTAGGTTTGAGCATCACATAATGACCAGTAGGGTTGTAATTAGCACACATTGTCAATAGACAGTTTCAATCTTCCGAAACATCGAGATAAGTTCTCCTTGGGATCCACTAACTCACACTTCAATATAAGCTGCTCTAACTCAGCTGTGTATTGTACTAATAGATTTTTTAGTTGTAAGTGGTGAAGTATCAAGAATATCATGTATGTAATATGTTGGTAGATACTTGCGCTGCATCTATTACATCGACTTGGACTAAATAATAATTTTATTTTTTCCCTCTCGCCAGCGTAGGTGTTTCTAGTTCGCCTAAGATAACGAAGCATTCTTCCTTAATAGTGGCTAGCTTGACCTTCTATAAATACTCAAGCTTGTTCCACTGTCTAGAGCCACTCAATGAACTCATCTGAATCCATGTGACCATCCTAGTCAATCTTCAATCCGACATCCTGGCTTCTCTTCTGATATACAACAACAACAACAACAAAGTTTTAATCCCATTATGTAGGGTCGGCTTCTCTTCTGACATGCTATGCAAAATTGGTAGGGTATGGGTTTTTAATAACTAAAAATTGCATAGTGGAAGGGATTCAATTCCTCCTCTTGATCTTGTGAGTCATTGTGGTCGTTATGAGTGATCTCATTGGTTATCTCCTCTCAAAGGTGGCAAGCCTTTGTTGTACTCGGAGGATTTCGCACTGCATATCTTCCAATAGTGAGCTCCTAACCACCCCATTGAGTGTTCTTTTTAGCGGCATAATGTTGTGTTCTTCCAATGAAAATTTAAGAAAAAGAAAATTTGTGGTTTAGAGTTAAAGTTACGAGTAGAGCTAGTTGGTCGATGAGGGAAAAATATTTTTTGGTAAGGATATTAGATTAGGTTGTATGGATCCTTAGCATAGGCGTAGGAAAAAATAGATTCCTAAAAATTTATGAAATTATCGGGCTCTAATACCATATGAGCTCCTATAAGGTATACCAAAACACCAAAACGTCTTTAGAAGTGTTGTAGAATGAGTAGAGGTGACTTAAAATCTGCGACGGGACAGCAAACTGGAAGAATAAAAAGTGTGGTTCCTGTTGTAAACAACAGGTGATGGCATAGTTGATGGTTGTCAGGTTGAAAACAATAGACAAACAGTGAATCGAGTGTGGACAGTGAGGAGAATCCAGCATTTGTTCCTAAATAAGATACAAATACACAAAATGAAAAAAGAAAAAAAATATACAACACTCCAAAAGATAGAAATCACTCTGAAAAAGCAAAAATCACAGAAAAAACTCTCAAATTCATAAAATCAGCAAAACTAAAAATCCAAGCAACCTGCTACAACATATATAAAAATCCCCTAATAAAATATACCTAATTGGAAAACAGGAAAAAAGAAAATAACCAAAAAGGAAAGAAACAAAAGGTCAAAACTCGAAGAAAATAACAAACAAGGAAATAAAAATTTTCGGACAGCTAGACTCCCGCGATCAAAGGAACCGCAAACCGCGGAACTATGAAAGTCGGCTAGGTTGAGTTCTGCGTATGTAGGAAAAGGTGCATACCTCTTCACATATAAACCCCTAAACTCAACCTATAACCCAAAAGAAAGTTTATCTTAATTTAGCCAATATCTCAAAAAAAGGGCATCAACCAAATAAATAATGTGCACAAAGATCTCAAAAACTTTTTACATTCCAAAGTCAAATAAAATGTGTTAAAAAATATCTGAAGTAAGAAGCTTATGATGATATTACTACAAAATGGTATAGCCTTCCACTTTGCACTTAATCTCTAAGATTAAAAGTTAGATGCATACAATCAAAGCAAGTCTAGACTCAAATTGTAAATTCAGTATATCTCCATAATTTAAATCCAACTAAAAAACTGATATAAATTGAGGTAATATTCCACGCTAATGATAACATAGCTTGCTTAGTGATTTCCACTAAGTAATTTAGTAAAAATTATTTTTTTAAAATTAAAATCCAGGGCAATTTTATCATTCTTTTTTGGTGGCATACGGAATGAAACATCCATGTGTCAACGCCCTACCTGAGTCCAATTTATTGCCAGCTTTTGACATTTGATAATCGAACATGAGCATATTCAGCCTAAGAAATCGTCTCAGTCTAACTATTTAGGTTATATTCTAATTATTGAGAAAATAGGAAGCAAGAATACAAAATTAGTGAAGACATAAAGCAAATTAAATAAATTGCACTCTTGTGTCATGTCAAAAACTCATTTGATGGAAAATATAAGAAGAATTGAGCAGATAGACTGACAACTACAGTACAAGAGCTCCTTCAAAACTGATGAGGTAAACAGTTAAAACCAGTACTTGAGGATGAAATGATATAAAAGAATTCACCTCTTTGACGCTTGGAAATGAGTATTGAATTGCACGCTCAAAGACCTAGAAAACAAAAGGAAATATTAAGTCGCTACAGCATATGTATGTTGCACGAACATATTGTCAAAATATGAACTAAGCCTATCCCAAAACTTCAAAAAAAAAAACATTCCAAACATCCTTATGATGCGCAATATATGGAAATATGATCATTATAATTACCATCATCATTAATCTTATCGCAACTACTTGGGATTGGCTTAGTGAATTCTCATTTTTTTTTCAATCATATTAAGTGTTTTCTTAGGTGTAACATATTCTAAACATTTTTTTTTGAAATTCTATCAAAGTTATTATAGAAAATGTACATAATTACTATAATCTTGAACATCTTTTCTGTTCATCAATGTTAATACCAACAGATTTCATCTCCAATTATTTACTATCCCCTTAGTCTTGAAAATTTCATTAAAAAGATTGTCACCAATAAATCTATAAATGTTAATAAATATTTCTACTAGACTTACAACTTTAACTTCAAGACATGCCCCGTTAATTTATTTATCACACTTTTATAACACATATTTCCTTGAAATCAACTATCAAATAATTTCTTGAAGTAGCATTCACACTGAATAAAATCAAGGAATTTAAAATAAAATAAAATGCCGTGTTAAGTCATGGAGGAAAGGCTTAAAACTATACATTACAATTAAAAAATTATAAATTGTGGATGCTTAAAATAAATTAAATTATAATAAACTTCCATTCCTATTGGGATCAGAATACTTTACCCATGAAATTACAGTCCATGGTCAAACCTGAGCCAATTCAATGTATCATCTCATAAATGTGCCCATTCTCCAAATACATACTCATACTTAAAGAAATAAAGCACTTTTATAGGCTATGTAAAAATCGTAAATGGAATGCAACAATTAATTAGCTTCATTTCTATTACATCAATATGTATATCGATGCACTCAAAAGCATGTCATAGAATTCAAGATTTTCAAATGATTAAATACATATGTAACATGGTTCAACAGACCACTAAGTAACCTAAATAAATATATTGCCTATTTGAGGGACAAATGACAACAATATTAACGCGGGGCTGGGAAGGGGGTCGGCTGAACCGACCCTTAAAATAGTCCGATCCAACCCCTACTGAACCAGCCGACCGCTAAAAGGGGCAAAACCTGCCGCCCACCGTACCCCCCACCCCTGTTCTGATCCTTTACCTGTTCTACTTACAAATCTTTGTTATTGTTATGGTTAATGACCTAGTGAGTCGCCGACCAGTTCCACCAGCTGCTCTCAGCCACTTGCAAGATAATTCCACTTTACATAAAGGCCAAGGGATTCAAATGTGGGACAACTGGGAAGAGAGGGGAGTTCCACGCCAACTAGGCTAGGATTTCTTTCCTTATCCATATATATATTTTTTTATAGAAAGAGCTACTCATAGCTCCTTACGCGTTAATAACAAAGGCGGTTACAAAATATTGGAGGGAAAAATGATCCCCGCTAAAAATAAAAAAAATACATATAGTCCTAAGGGTTCCTCCTTCCGCATTACAACACCCAAAAAAGAGAAAGATGAAACAAATATAAATATAATCAAAAAATACATGTATCCAAACAAAACGTATACCCAAAAAATGAAGTATACCCCATATGAACATCTATAAAAATTGAAACAAAAGTAGCGCAAGTTGCTAAGCCAAAAACAACGTCCTAAAAGCTGGAAAGAGCACCACCAAGCATATCCCAAAATTCAAATACCTGCAGCTCAAAAAATTGTGAATGCACCAAACAAGCAAGAAAACATGTGAGCAAGGAAGATAGAGAAGGATCCAAGCACTTCCAACCCCCCATCCTAAAATGCATAGAACAAATAAGAAGCCACGATCCTGCCCAGGACATAGGGTGAAAATATTGTAGAAATTTGGAGCTATGAGCCTCCATAACGAAGTGATTAAACCCATTCACCGATAAGCTAAGCCTCCAGTAACCATTCTCAACAGTATCCCCAATAAAATAACTACAATAAATCCCATATGTCAGATCTCCACATAAGCCCCCCAGACCAATACCTGAAGCAAAAACCGTCTACCAGGCCACCAAAAGATATAAGAGGAATCTAAAGTAAAATGTAAGCATTCATCCAACATTAAAAATAAGAAAACACCAAATATAAGCTGCCCAACCGTAACCAAAATAAGGAGCCCTGGGCCTCCCATATTATTCATCACATAAGAAGTAATGGAGTCATGGGCCTCCATGCAAATTTAAAAAAACCATCCACCATATAATGCCATATAATGCATGCCACCATATAATGCATGTATAGTTGCTGCTTGCCCCACCCATTTCCTGAAACAGCAGGCAACCAAGGCACCCCGAGATAATTTAAGAGTAAAAACAGCCCAAAAAACAGTCTGGGCCGAAACATACCACCCAGCCAAAGAAAATAATCTAAGAGGAACCATCCCTACGAATATAAGGGGCATCTATGTTGTCATCAACCAGCAGAATGTGTAGAGGGGGAGGGGGAGTAGATCCCACCCTATAAATATTAGTGGCACTACCTAAATTAGACGGCCAATTAGCAGGTTGGTTCCCCTCACAATAATTGAAACTCCACATAACATTCATATTGGAGATTAAATATTTAATCCTCTTAACATAATAGAGGATATCCCAAGGGGTATCGGCACTATTAGCCAAAATATCAACCAAGATGTGATTATCACATTCAAAAATAATAAAATGTCAGCTGAGAGAGTGAGTCATCATAGCAGTCGTTAAAATGACCCGAACCTCAGCCTCTATGGGAGTATCAGCATAAAAAGTAAATGAAAAGAAAAGTATACACTTCCCTGCAGGTTATTGTTATTATATATATATATTCAAAAGTAACGGTCGGAGGTTATGATACGAGCCCCGACCATCCCTCATGCGCCTATAATTTGAGTATCACACCCTACACTGGGGAGGAATCTAACCCCAGATCAGAGGGGCTTACAACTGACAAGCAGATGTCCGACCAACTGATTTTATTACGTGGCGCATATATAATATATAGTGTTTGCTTAAGTTAGAGGTTGTTAATTTTATTTTCCAAGTTCAGAGCCCACCACCAGCGTTTGCCCCTTTTGAGGGTTGCATGCAAAAACGATAAGGTGTTCCGCCTATAACTCATCTGAGATGATGACTATCTTTATTATTCATCTGCTTCCCTGCTACGATCAGTTACCTCCAGGGCCTCCCAGATTATTGCATCTCCTCCCTGCGCTTCTAGCAGGCCGCAAACTCCCTCCATGTGCTTCAAGTTGACTGTTGGCACCTTCCTGCAGCTCCAGCAGGCCGCGGCCTCTCTTCCAGCACTCGCAACTGGTCGTCGGTCCCTCCCTACAGCTCTCTGCAGTCTGTCGATTACTTCTGCCCTTAAGCAGCTGTCGACCACTCTCAACACCAGATCGCCTACTCCCACTCTCTTCCAGCGCTTCCTAATGCTCGTTGGCTCCTTCCCACAAATTCCAGTGAGCCGCCGACTCATCCCTACACTCTCCAGCGAGCCGTCGACTCATCCCTACACTCCTCAGCAAGTTGTCGCCCTCCTCTGCATCCTCTTGCAAGTTGTCGCCCCCTCCCTGCACCTCCCGGCAAACCGTCGATCGCTTCTGCACCCTGCAACAGCCCGCAACCGCTTGCAATTCCCCTCCGGACCCTTCAGACAGCCACCTGCACCTGCTGCCAACATCGCAGCCCCTGTTGCACCCACATTCCAGCAGCCACCAACACCTGTTGCTGCCCTCCACCTTCCAGTAGCCAACCGCACTCTTTGCTCCCTCCGCTTACATTACCGGCCGCATTTACCTCACAGTCAACATCCGTGAATACTCTTCCTAGGTTGTAGCCAGATTGTCAAGTCTTGTATTTATTGTCTTGTTTTCTTTCTTATTTCAAGTCTTGATTGTATCCCCCGTTATTTGCTTAATAAGATTTGTTTTAGTCATTGTGGGTTGAGTTAACTCTGATATCATTTGGAATCATAGTTAGCCTAACCGTAGTCTTATCCTCGGGTTCCTTAGAGTCCACCAAATTTTTCTCCCTTTTCTTTTTTTCTTTCCCTCTTTTTCCTTTTTTTTTTCTTTTCTTCATCTCTTCTGGTTTTTTTCTTTTTTTTTTTCCTTTTCTTCCATAGGTCTCAAACCTTCAATCATACCCCCGAAGAGTTACACGCCACCCCCACCCGAAATGAAAAACAATGGGAGATCTGTCGTCTGCAACAAAAATTAGCAGAGGATGATGGAACCCAATGAGAGATTACCCTTAATCGCAATAAAGACGGACAGGGACAAATATCTAAATCCGCTCCACATAGAAGACATCAGCGACGAGAAATACTAATAGCGCCATTTCAAAATTCAATACCAGAAAAAACCGAGAAACAAGCCTGCATATGAGGGACACAAGGACATTGGCATCAAAGTGAATCTGTCAGAGTTTGATGGAGGTATGGATTCATATAACTTTGTCGAATGGCTACAATAAGTGGAGTGAATCTTTAAATATAAGAGCATACCAGAGTGAAAATGGGTAAAATTGGTCGCAATTAAGTTGAAAAAATGCACCTCCTTGTGTTGGGAGAACTTACCGAGGCAAAAAAATAAGAAGGTCGTGATAAATTTTCAAATGAGAGAAGATGAGGAAGGAACTACAAAAAAAATACCCACCAACTCACTACCACCAGGACATATTTCTGAGGCTCCACCAATTGCAGCAACGAGAACTTTTAGTGAAAGAATTCACAACGCAGTCGATCAATTGTAGATGAAGTGTGAGTTAGTCGAGCCAGATGAGCAAACGATAGCCCAATATATGGGAGGTTTGAAACACGCTATTAGAAATTTTGTATAACTACAGCCCTACTGGTTCCTTGGAGATGTCCAAACATTAGCCTTAAAAGTTGAAAGGCAACAGAAGCAGGCAAGGCCACAGACCTCCATCACGCAACAGTCCTCATTCAGACCAACACTTGCAGCTATAGTTACGAACAAGCCTACTTTAGGAGGAGGAAAGACAGCACTGGAGAGTGACAAGACCGAGCCTAGTGGGAAGAAGCCAGAAAATGGTAATTCTTCAGGGACGATGCCCACCAAAAAGTGTTTTCGATGCACAGTTATGGCCACACAGCCTCTAGCTGTCCCACGAGCCAGGTTGTCTCATTCATGGAACATAGCATCGTTGAGGAGATAGAGGACGAGGAGTCTGAGGATAGTCCCAAGGAGAAGCTTCAGCTCCAGAACGACAAAGGAGAAATGTTAGTTATGCAAAGAGTGTTGCATACAAAACCTGAAAGATATCAGTCATGGCTATGGCACATCATCTTCCGCACCAAGTGTACGGTAAAACGCAAGGTTTGCAATTTGATAATCGACAGTAAGTGTTGTGAAAACGTAGCAATCATGTTGATGGTAAAAAAGTTAGGATTAGCTACACAGAAACATCCTTGGTCCTATTCCCTCTCCGGGCTAAAAAGTGGAAATGAAATATGAGTGAATCAGCGATGCCTAATTGAGTTCTAAATTGGTGATCAACTACGGGAGCATGTATGGTGCGACGTGGTTCAGATGGATGCATGTCATATTCTACCGGGGAGGCCTTAGCGGTTCAACGACAAGGCTCAGCAAGCGAAGTAGGCAACATAGAGGAGACATTAGTCTCGAAAGTCACTTTCATGCCAGTAGCACTAGCCTTAGCTTTACTCAAGGGGACAGAGGTGGAGAATGTGATATCAGCGCCACTCTAACCACTACTACATGACTTCCAGGACGTGTTGGCCGACAGTCTTCCCGAAGGATTGCCGCCACTAGAAGATATTCATATGACATAGATCTCATACCAATATTAGTGAATCAGCCTGCTTACAAGCTAAGATCGACAGAGTAGAAGAAGTTATAGCAACATGTGCAGGATTCCGTCACAAGAGGGTTAGTGGAGAGAGTACCAGACCCTTTCATGTCCCTACAATAATGGTGTCCAAGAAAGGCAGAACATGGAGGATGCGCATCGACAGCAGAGCCATTAAGAAAATTACCATCAAGTACCGGTCCCTCATATCTCGCCTAGATGATCTTTTGGATTTGTTACACAAAGCCGATATCTTTTCTAAAATCGACTTATGCAGTGGGTGCCACCAGATACGAATGAAGTCAGATGACGAGTTGAAGACCGCTTTCAAAACACGAAATGGGTTATATGAGTGGACAGTTATGCCATTCGACTTGTCAAACGGGCATAGCAATTTTATGAGGTTTATAAACTAGGTATTCAAGCCCCACAGTGATAAATTTGCGGTTGTCTACTTCGACGACATTATGGTGTACAGCTGATCTGAGTAGCACTTACAGCACCTGAGGGTAGTGTCCGAGATATTGCGAGCAAAGCAACTACATATCCATCCTAAGAAGTGCAATTTCATGACACACTAGGTATGTTGTTTGGGTTATATTGTCACTAATGGAAGCATTCAGATGGACATTACAAAGATCGAGGTCATTATAAGTCGAACCGCATTGTAATCGTTCGCCGAGCTGAGGCAGTTTCTAAGGTTAGCACTGTTTTAACAAAGATTCATCGAGAATTTCAATACTATCACCGCCACTCTGACAGAGCTTTTATAATGAAAGGAGTTCACATAGACAGCGGCCGCTCATACTAGCTTCGACACCCTGAAGGCGAAAGTCACTCAGGTTCCTGTGCTAGCCTTACCAGACTTCAACCAGCCATTCGAGATTGAGTGTGATGCATCTGGCGTAAGGATAGTGACAATGTTCAGCCATGGGGGTCATCCCATCTCCTTTTTCAAGGAAAACCTGAATGAATCCAGGAAAAAATACACAACATATGACAAGAATTATATGAAATTATACGAGCTCTGGAGCACTGGACTCATCACCTGCTGACGAGCGAGTTCATACTATTTACAGATAATGAGGCCTAGAAATTTCACAAAAGCCAGAGCAGACTGAAGAGTCGACATGCCACCTGAGTGAACTAGTCATTCCAATTTGTGTTTAAGCACAAGGTGGGGAGCCAGAACAACGTAACAAACGCATTGAGTTATCCCCACTTGTTGATCATAATAATGCAGACACGAGTTGTGGGGTTTGAACTCATAAAAGATTTGTACAACGCAAACAAGGACTTTAAGGAAATTTGGGAACAATGTCATTGCATGCAACCAGCCCCTAGCCATCTCCCGCTCCCACTCAACATCCCAACCTGTTGCCGCTCCACCCAGCCTAGTCTGCACCGTTCAACCTCCTTGCTCACCCTTCACCAACCCACCACAGGACACTTTTCAAGCCACATAATTGATCGCCACCCGGGAAATACAACTCTAGTGAGTTGAATGTTGTGTTGTTGTTATTTCCCGTTTTTATGTTTGGGTTGCTATCGCCTATTGGCTTTATTAGTAATAATATTTGTTTTTGCTATTGTAGTTAGGGTTCACCCTCATATCAGTACCCCTATTGCTGCTTCTTCTCTGATAGCCTCCAACATCTGGCCCATCTTTTGGTCCTTCAACTCTTGGATTTGTTGTTGCACGAACTCCCTAGTGTACTCCATGTTTGCAATGTCTCTTTAATGGGTTTCTTCTACTTGTTATGCTACTCCTTTTGTTGCTAGCATGATTCACGCTCAATGCAGATTTTAGAAAAGCTCTTTTAAAAATAACTTTAGAAGAAACAACGATATAAAGGGGGTCTTTCTATAGCCGATGTCATTTGAATACAAAATTTTATGTGCAGCTTTTCTTAGAATAAAAAACAAAAATTTACATCCCCTCCACAAAACCATATCTTCATACTTAAGACTACACATACCATCCTCATGCACATTCGCACAGAGGACTCTATTCACATCCACAGAAAACTCACCCCATGCTGCTTCGTGATACCGAAATTGTTGAAAATATCAATCCCATCTAGAAAGATCAACATAGGCTATTAACCCTTCTCCAATCCAATCATGGATGGATTAGTTTATATTGTATTTTCCTTTATGACAATAGCTAAAATTAGGATGGTCCTTTTAGTTTATTTTAAATGTTTTAGGATTCATGTAATAGGATAATTTTATATACAATCAAAGCGATGCCTAAGAATGCCTTAGGCTATTTATGGCAGTTAAACCTCCTAATCTCTCCTCTCTCCCTCTCTCCCTCTCTCCCTCTCTCCCTCTCTCCCATACTAGCCAGCTCCAGTTCCCTTTTCCTCCTCTTAACACCCCGTCTATTTCATGTTTCCCTCTAATACTAATTAATTTTGTTCTTCTAATACATTCATCAATTCCCTCTCCCAAGTATTCAACCGGGCTTCACCTCCATCATCTATAGCAAACTAAGCACTCCTCCCTCCTCCGAAGTAACAGGCAACCACTCCTACGTCCCATCTCATTGCCGACACCTACTTCCCTTCCACCCAACCAACCAAGCCAAGTCGAACATATCCTCACCTTTACCAAGCCAACTCAAGTGCATCATCAACCATGGAGATTCATGGCTGCCTTCATCATCCATTAGATATTTATGGCCAAAGCAAAAGATGTAATCCAATTTCACTTCCATAGGATTGTGACTCCAACATACCTTCTCAAGATCAATAAAGAACATATAGAGAATATTTCATTAATCATTTCAATATTTTTTCATTAAATGCCTTACCACAAGGATCATGTTCATAACAGATCTAACATAAACAGAATTGATTATTCTTGCCAACATAAAGGCTGAGGGGATTACATGTCAGCATTCCTACCCCTGCCTAAGAAGAGAGGATATTCATATAATCTATATTAGTGTTAACCTTGCGAGTAATATAACCATTGCACCCAAGCTGCCTTAAAAACATGAAATTAAATTTAAATCAAAACACAGAAAGGGGATCTTACAGTGCTCAGCTCTTTCTCTGAAGCAGACATGCGTTCCAATGCAAGCATATGATTGATCCAAAGCTCCCCTACCCATGTACAGTTTCTCGTAGCCCTTGAATAAACATCTTTGACAAATTCAGAAACCTGCTGAAGAATATAAACCAACATGAATTCTGCAGATGGCACTAGTTGGCAAGTCAAAAGTGAACTCATGTAAACAACCTTAAAAGTTCTGTCGAGGTAGCTAGTATATCCTAACCACAAATCACTTGACACAGGAAAATCAGTAAGTGCGCGTTCATAAAGAGCTTGAACCCGTGCAGGATCACCAACCGAGTCCTCCAGTTTTATATAATTCTGCATGAGAAAAATTGATATTATATTTTGATGATAAAAAGAAATATGCCAGAAGTCAAAACAAAAGAATTAAAGTAGGTTTAGGAAAAATATTTTTCTCCAATAAGAACAATTTCACAAACTAGGAGCAAAACAATTTGTAAACTACGTTGAAAAATATGGAAATTGGAGTAAATTTCATGTTTAAAGCAAATAAAAAATAAGATTTAAAAACAAGAGAAATTAAAGCTACTAATAATGCTACTAAAATCAAAGGTCTCAAAAAACATAATCATTTTTTTTTTTTTTTGGCTCAAGTAGCACTCAAAACAGCGACAGAGGAGTCTGATCAACCTCATGCTTTCATCAACCCAATTGTGATCAATCAGCAGCAAGACATTACATAAGAATGGGATTCTACCTGTATGTATTTCAAATAATGCTACTCTTCCCAAACAACTTCGCACTTAAAACTGGACTTTATGATACTAGTGCCTACAATTTGCGTGGTCCAATGAAAGAGAGTAGACCTCCAATCCATATTTTGTACAAGAACCACAAAAATTTTATTTTCAGTATTAATTTGTTTTTGGAGTAGCAATACTTTGTATTTTTGGGTTCTTGTAAGTAACTAGCATGTATTATGCATAAATGGCATTTAGAATGGGGTATGATGAAGGGTGTATGGTGGCCATAACAATAGGTAATTGAGGTGAAGAACTGTATTCGATGTGGGGAATATAAGATGGCGAATGAAATTGAGGTATTGAAAACTGGAAAGGTGTGTTTCCAATTTTGGCCAAGAGCTACTTAAAGAACGGAGTCTAGGGTTATTTTCAACAAGATGATTTATATGGAGTTTAAGAGAGGTTTAGTTAAAAAAATATAACTGGTGTAGGTATTCTACGAAAGGTTTAAGATATTAAAAAGTTCCAAGAGTTAATGGGCGTTATGGTATGAAACTTTTCTGTAGTTTAAGGAAAGCTGAGTGACTGGATTGGGATAGATCTTGGCTATTTGCCTAATTTAGGAAGAAAGGAAAAAGGAGATGAACTTAGAGGGAAGCTCCATATCATTTAAGAGAGGTGTGCGAAAGATAACGCAGAGAAAGATGGCATAAAATAAATGTAAAATGAAAATATTAAAACTTACCTAACCAACAAAAATTTTAAATAGCAAAGAATCTTTCCAAACGGAAGAAGAAAACTCCTCCAATTCGATTTCAATACAACATAAACTTCCTTTCTTGCAAGTTACACGATATTTAAAAGCATTACATCAATAGAAATACTAACATCACCTGGAAAAAACATTTGGCATCATAACCATATCTTGGACTTACAAGAGTAATAAAACTTTCAATCATTACTCTTGGGAGATGAAATATTAGGCTTAAATCTTGGAAAGATAGGTCAAGCAAGTTTTAACTTTGAACTTTTAGACGACAAGGCAAAATGAGGTGACCATTATAACGTAGCAATTAAAGTGGACCAGAATTTCAGCTCACAAAAAACTTGGCATTTTCATGCAAATATAATGTCATACTAATGTGAAAGAGTTCAGATTGAAATTTAAAACAAAAAGAAAATTAAAATAAGAATTTAGAACTTACTTTCCCTTGACATTGATCTAGTAATAAACATAAGTTGAGTAAATATTACATCAACTCACCTTGACTCAAAAGAACCTTTCCAAAAGTCCATGTATCATCCAGCATCCATAGGCAAGCTGCATGACCCGGCCTTGGGGCATGAAATTTCAAAGTGGGAATGGACAGCCGTGACAAATATGGTGCCAGAGCAAATGTTTGGTTAAATAATATGAATCATATTGAAAGAGCCAATAGGATAACTAACGAAAAACTCCAATATGAAATTTAGAAGATTTGATATAGATCATATAATCATAAATAAAGCAATGATTGAAGATGAAATTTTTGTAAGTATGGAAGATTATAACACCCCGTTTTAATCCATGTGTGAAGCTTGAGTTACAGTTTCAAGCATTTAAGAGCAGACAGAAGGAGATAGACAAAAGCCAGAATAAAGAAACAAAGGATTGAAATCGAGTGTGAGGAAGATCGTAATAGGGAACGAGATAAAGAGGGAAGGAGCAAACCTGGAAACGCCAACAACTCACTTCGTGAGTAGCAAGAGTGCAAGACAGAGCCAAAAAATTACAGTCAAAGCAAAAGAGCGACGGAACAAGAAATGAAGCAAGATAGGATGGAAACTGAGCGGTTGGTGTCGTGTGCAAGCTGAGCAACGCAAGTGAGGCGACAATAAGCTTATATTCAAGCAATTGCATAGACGAGCGAGGCCAAGTCGAATCAAGCATGTGCAAGTGGTACGCATCAGAGAACGGGAGAAGCTTTTTCTCTTAGTTTGATCACCTGTGCAAGAAAGGTGAACTCTGCCTCTAAAATGTGGCGATCAACCGGCTATGTTGTCTCTCCCCTTTTAAAGCTAGGGTCTCCAAATCTTGTCCGCAATGAACTAATAGATACTTACGTGCATCTCCCGTTTTATCTAGGACCAAGTAGTGATCTTATCTTTTCACTCACGCTAGCATAGGTGCTTCAAATTTTGCCACCAAAATAATCAGCTTTTCTTTAACATATTGGTGGTTAGTTTCATCATTATGTCTGGTGGGACGTCCTAGTACTCAAAAAAATTCCATCTGAAGCGACTCGATGAACTCTTCTGGATCCACATGACCGTCAAAATGTGACAAATCCATCATTACATCAAAATCCTGGCTTCTCGGATATTTCAAGTAAATTCTTCTAAGTAGAGACTCTTCATCTCTGAAATCTCTAACAGGTACTTCACCTCTTTATTCTCTAAAAGACACTTCCTCTATGAAAACAGCCAGGAACTACACTATTCAGGTTGTCAGCAGCGAGGGGGGATGGCGTTGTCAGTGAAGGAGGATGAAGGGGATTGCAAGACAGCAAGAGGATGGTTGTCGGGGCAGCCGCAATGAGGAAAGGTGCTGGAATTGGAAAAGCCGAAATGAAAACAACGACAGTAGCAGTTAGAGGGTGGTTTTAGCAATTAAGGGTGGTCGGGAATGATTTGGGGAGGATGTGCAAGCATATAGTGATGATAATCGCCTCCTCGAAAGAGAGATACAGCCAGAATACCCCCCAAACCTTTGATACAGCCCTCGAAAGGAGAAACGGATGTTGGCGGCTGTCCTAAATAATACTCATAAAAGAAACTAAATCTAGAACATCAGAAATGCGAATAACAATGAGATAAATAGGAGTGGCCCAAGAAGATCGGTCGACTCCTCATAGCAGAAAAAAACCTGGAACGAACTAGTCTAGGCAAACGGCGTTGCGACCTCATTCTCAAGACTCCCGCGTCGGGAGAAGGAGGTGCTCCTGCGTTACATAGAGTTTAGTACATTGTAGAACTACAACTATTCACTAGGTTGTTTTTAAACTTAAATTGCAGTTAAAATGTTTCTTCTAAAGAAATCTGACCTGAATTAAGATGACTAACATGAGAGAAAATATTTACTGAAGGAGAAAAAATGTTGATTGATATCAGATAGTATTATTTTTATGTTTTGTTTCTTTTCTTTCTTAGAACTGTGTTACTCTTATGTGCTTTGTTTGGATAATGATTCGCATATTATGTGGTTTAGTGGCCCTTTATTTTTTTTTGGATGATTCGTTATTGTAATTATTGTGAATGTTAGATAAATATTACACTACCGTCCAATTGTCTGCTTCTACTTGAAATTTCCAAGCTCCCGATCCAGTTCATGAAAATTAACTAGAACCAGGCAACTATAGGTGCGCAATAATAGAACTTCTTAGGTATTAAACCTACACATGATACAAAACTTGCCATTGCAAAAAAACTAATCCAAGTAATCAATAAAGGATTAATACCTCAACTGTGAGGGGCATCTAAAACTCTGAACTTGTAAAATTCAAAGGCAACTGTCCATTCTCTTCGCTGCAACATTTTTAGATGAGGCTATAGTGTTGTTCTGCTGTATTTTGAGTTGACTGAATTTGGGGCAATGCATCAGCAAGAAGACAGGATTTCAGCAGCTAGAAGTGCAAGTTTGCAGCAGCAAACAAACACAGATCTCAGTAACAAAACATGCAGTTCAAGGCCTATGGGCAAAAGTTCAATGTAACAGTTACCACAAAAATAAAACAGTACGGTTTTCCAATGAGGAATTTCAGCAAACAGCAAGATGGCAAAAGTGCAGCAGAAAACTTTTGCCCAATATATTTTACCTCGGGAGAAAAGAGGAGGAAAAGAAGATGGAGTGCGGTGAAAAAGACCTAAAACCAAAGGAATGGAGACGTACACAGAATCTGTGAAGCGCAGATAACTATGGCGGCAGATGTCTTTTCTTCAGCAATTCATTAAAAAGTGTTTAATGCAAGTGACAGCGACCTCAGAAGCAGAAGAGTGAGGGAAAGAAACATTGTGGACAGTGGGAATAATACAGAAATATTGAAGAAGCCAGATAGAGCAAAGGAGGATAGCAGCAGTTTGTTATGATTGATGTGATGAACTGGAGGCATTGAGTTGATTTCCATTTTTCTTAAATGGAGGGTAGGGTGGTTTCTATGCAATTAACTGCTGGAATAGAAAGTGATGATATGGATAGGAGAAAGAGATGAGAGTAAGAGGAGAGGGGATGGAAAAGAACCAATCTCGACACAAGTAAGAGAAGTAGAGTGCAACAAAGCATTCGAGCGCTTTCATTTCCTACAACAAAAAGCTTTCCATTCGATTCCCAAAGAGGCCATACATTAAAAGAGAGATGCATCTAGATAGCTCATAGAACATGCAAATACAAACAATAACTAGCAAATCATAGAAAAAGACGATATAGATCCAAACACATAAATATACCAATAATCTCAATTGCATAGAATCATCCCAACCAAGACAGTGAGAATCAAATATGTCTAAGGGTATGGCATGTGTTGAGATGTGCAATATGGTGATTGTCAATTTACGTGAAGGCCATTTTAAACAAATTTAAGCATATGTTCAGTAATTTTGTCATCATTGTTAGCCTTGTCCTAACTATTTGTGGTCAGCTTTATAAATCCTAATTTTTATTTGTTCTTGGCAAGTGATTTCTAATGAGTAAAAAAATATTCCTCGCAAATCATTTTGGCACAAATTTACCCATGCAACCTCAAGATTTGTCCCGCTCATTCATATTCTTCTAACAGTATGTCAATATCTTCGTCTGATGGACCATATTCTACCCTTAGTTTAATAATCTTATCTTGAATAGATGACACTCTAACCATCCCTATAATACAATTATTCTTTAATTTATCCGTCCAAGTTGATGTTCAACATTGTAAAACATCCAATGGCAGATAAAAGATAAGAAGCCCACCAAAGTCCTGCCATTTAATTATCGGGAAACTTTGCAGTTAAATGTTGTACCATTAAATATTTAAACACATTTAGGAGCTATCCTAGAATTAGCATATTCATTGAAGTTAGGCATAAGGTAAACACCGTAATTCACCATGAGAAACATAGTTTATTATTTCTCATAAATTATTCCTTTTTGCAAGCATTGTGAAAGTATATTTTTAGAAGTAGTCTTAGACGGTCGGTCACATTAAATGTCAATCATCCGATGTAGCCGTCAATGGAAAAAAAATATTTTTAGAAGTAGTTTTACACTTGGGCATATTGTATAAAAAATAATCTTAATTTATCAGAATAAAATGAAAATATGACAGAAAATAGGACTCAATGGAGAAAAAGGATCCATGTAGCCGTCCCCACTTAGTGGGTTAAAGGCTTACTATTGTTGTTGTTGTCGTTGTAGTATATGTCCGTTCACTTAAAAAAGAAAAAAAGCTTGCATTGGTCTTAAATTGTGTGCAAAATCTTCAATCTTTAAAATAGGCAGTTATTAGTATTTAAAATGGTAAAGGAAACATCAATTCCCGAATTAGAAAAGTAAAGATTAGTTCATCAATTAGCTGGATAACATAAAGAACCAATATATACTACATTGCTTCACCTAAAATATCTTCAACCTACATCCAAGCACTGCTAAATGTAAGTTCTGTTGGAGAACAACAAAGGAATGTCTTCATCTATTTCGTTCCCCTCAAAGAACTCAAACTTCCAATAGCATCTATGTAGGCGTTAAGACAATATGGAACATGCAGTTTAATTAAGAACTATTCAATCTAAAACTATTCATGTCTGAAAAAAAAGACCCAATCCGTCCCATAGCTCTCATGCGAACAAAGCATATTTATTTAGGAGGCCTTTTGAGATTAGGAGAAATCAACTACATGATATTAAAAAAATAAAAATAAAAGATTCTACACAGAATAATTAATCACAATGAATAAAGAAGTGAATAATCAATACCATATAATGCTGAAGCTTATCAACCTCAGTAGCATCACAATTAGAGAGCTGCTCCTCATATGGAGCACGAGCACTGCCCATTTCCAGGGCTTTTTGGTATGCAGAGATGATATTGCTTGAAACTCCATCAAATTCGGAATTCACATCATTTAGATTCCCTTGTTCAGCCTCCCAAAGCTTGTAATCTGTAAGAGTTGACCTCAGATTAATTAAAGGTACAGATAACTGACGATAGAAAAGAGATCGAATGCGTTGAGCCTGCTTTACTTTCTCCTGCATAAATAAATAAAAAGATTGCTCAAATTAAAGATGACCCATAATGTAAAAACAGTGATATTTTTCAAAATCAACAAATTTGAACCTCATTATCACTCCCATCAATTGTTAGAAAGACTGCCTGCTCAAATTCTCTGTATGCTTCCCAAATATTTCCTCCCTCAGAAAAATGCAATCCAGCAGCAGTAAGAGCATGCTCGAATAAAGTTCTCATCTTTGATAAACCAGCTGGCGCACATTCTGACACCAACGGATCATGTTCTTCAACAAATTCTAGATAATCACACCACAGAGGCACAAACTGCATTACAAACAATGCCAAAAAAATGGTCAATGCATTCCTGCTGGATAGTCAGAGCAGCATGGAAAATAGACCTACCAAATATTCATGAACCCCACGTTCATAAATCTTCTCAATTTCTTCAAAATTTTCAGACCTATTGGATGGAAAAACAAAATATAAAAAATGCTTCAGAAAAATTTTCAGTGATATTCATAAGTTTACAATAACTGCACCAAAAACAATCCAGGGTTCAGTAATATGAAATGCTTAGAATAATAAAGTCGCTAGAAACTAAATAAGGATGGCAGGAGACAACAGATCATTTCAAATTTGTCCAACATGAAGAAAATTGATTGAAAACAGTAAGCTGAAAAGAAATGTCAGGAGAAAGACAATAACTAAATAAAAACTAGTCACAAGATCAGAAGCTTCACATTTAACTATAAATGGAAAAAATTACGGATTTTACATTAAAAACAATGTGAACGCCTATAATAAAAAATTTAATTGTAGTAAAACAAAAAAAAAATTTATGCCTTGGACGCCTGTAAGGGTCTTTACTACATGTACCATTTTCGGTCAGCTCAACTTCTCCTAAAGTAAAACGACCATATGTTTGCAAGAGAACATTGATCTTCAGCACACTCGCAAGTATTAGTGGCCACAAGAAGCACAAGTTTAAGTGGTTTAAAATCAGTATATCCATAAATAAAAGTTGCATAAGATAATATGAAATAAAAACATAATCATGAATAAACCCAAGGATGCTTTTTGAAACTCAATTTGTACTCATTAAAGATGAGATTCAGATAAGGATTTTAGACGCAAGTAGACGTTATTATAAGTACTTTCTCAAAATTGTAAGAGAACATACTCTGGATTTAGAGTCGCCTCATCTTTTGCCCAGTCCTGCCACATTTTTGGGCTTAAAGGAAAATATCTATTCATGGATTCCCTTGCTTGTTGAAGCTTTTCAACATGACCATGTTTCCTCAAGTGTTGTATATACTGAGCAGATATAGACAAGAAATGCAATTTCAAATAGAGAATCACAAATATAATTAAAATTGTAAAACATTTCAAGAAACAGGTAGTTTAATGGCTTCCATAATTGATGATCAGTCCAAACTAAGAAAGAGAAAGAAATAGCAGTCACTAAAATGCAAGTTTTTACATGATTCAGATGGACACTCATTTATATTCAAATGCAGAAGATCTAGCACACAAGTTTAACATGGCCATTTATAAAGTTCCTCTAAGAGGCAAGAAGTATGATTTGATTTTAGAAATCACAGCATATCTTCAGTAACCTAAAGCAACACATTACTTGTATGTGGTTTCCAACCTTTGAATGAGCATATACATAGCAAATTATTAGGGCAGAAAAAATTTTGATAATCTCTGCTATGATAATTCAAAACAGTAACATCACCATTCCCTTAAAGATAGCCGAGCCAACAGTTCAAGTTGAGACAACCGCCATTCTCAAGGTTCGTCTTTGATTTGTACATTAACCGAAAATCAAGATGGACCGAAAGGAAGAACAGGGAGTTGTAAATCAAATGATAGATATGCACCACCCCCCCCCCCCCCCCCCCCTACATATTATGGCTAAACCTAAAGGGCAACTGAGACCGTTCTAGGTTTCCTAGAAGGTGTTTGAGGATGGAATCTAGAAGTGAGATGTTAGAGAATGGGGAGAAAAAGTGAATATGTGAGGTTCATGAAGATCAGAAGGAGAAATGGTAATTGAGCCTTATGTCTAAGAGAAAGACGGCAGGAAACACAGTGAAATGATGTGATTGGTGACCACCGACGCCAAGGGAGAACCACGACCTAGTCCTAGACAAGATACAAGCACACCAATTGCACAATAAAAGGATGCAGCACTCCTTAGAGTTAAATTACAGTGAAAGAATATCAAAAATGCATAAAAACACCAAAAGTTCCAAAACCATAAATTAATAACATATTTCTATGCCCCAAATCAAGATTAACCGTAAAAATAATATAAATAAGTTAAATAGGAAAGCTTAAGAGAGGACCAACAAACCCATGGGGCTAGAGTAGATTGAATCGATCTCCTAAAACAGTTCACAAATCTTTGGTTCGCATGTGAGCGAAAGCGGGAGGGACATCTGAATTATTCTCCCTAGATAGGAGAGGGTTTGCATTCTTCACTAGAATCTCTTGGATCTTCATAATATGATGATAGATCAGAAATATTGAAAATAACAGAGATGTTATAGTCTATAGGCCCCTCAATCTTATATGCATTATCATTAATCTTTTAAACAATATTGAATGAACTGTCAGCTCAAAAATTGAGCTTTCCAAAAACCATACAAGAGACTTCCTTTTTTAGCATAATCCATATTAAGTCTCCTCCCTTAAAATTTTAAGATCTTTTGGACTTGGTGGTCCACTTTTAGTACTGGTATTTTGCTTGACAATTTTCTTTCTCACCTGCTCATGAAAGATCTAAATCTCTTGGACCCTAGTCTCCACATGACTGCTAAGCTTAGTAGAGGAAAGCATAAGTATTAACTCCAAGGGTTTGAAAGTTTTCCACCCAAATACGATCTCAAAAGGATTGTGACATAGATTGGCAGGAAGAACGATAAGAAGAAAACTCATACTGTAGAAAGATTAAATCTCACTGCTTGATATTCTTGCCCACAAATCACATAAAGAGTGAAACGGTTGTAAACAAACTAAACTTGCAGAAGGATCAAATCATATTGCATGATATTCTTGTCCAAAAAACAGTTGATGAGATTTCCCAAACTCCAATTTACCACCTCGGTCCATCCATTCGTCTGTGAATGAGCTACTGAACTAAATTGAAACATTGTGTTAAGTAATCCTCTCAAAATGACTCAAAAATTTCACGTCTATATCTGAATTGAAATTCATGGGCTTTCTGAAATACAATTCTGCAATGTATGAAGCATCTAGCATATTATAGCAGGATATAAAATGTGACATATTGGAGAGGTTATCCATACAAATATCATAATTGAATCATTGCTTTGTTGGGTTCATGGGAGACTCACAATGAAGTCCACACTCACATTCACCTAAGGCAATTCTAATTTACGTAACGGAATATAGAGACCCGTATTCTATCCCCAGGTCTTAGTTAAACGACATATCCTACACAGTCTGATAAGCCTCTCGAAGTCCCATTTCAATCTAGGTCAGTAGAACTCTCTTTCACTAATGAATCAGTCTTATCTCTGCCAAAATGCAATGCCATCTATCCATTGTGGCACTCCTACAAGGCTCTCCTTGAGTGACCTCCTAAGAATAGACAATCTATTCTGATGAAATAAATAATCATCTAATATGTGGAACTACTCATACGGCCTCTTCTGACAATGATTTTGAATATCTTGAAAGTCTTCATTGGTGCCATATATCCTTCAAAAATTCTAAATCAACTATCTGTGAATGTATGAAAGTAATTAGCAATTGATAGCGACTCAACTCATCAAGTTTTGATACTCGTCATAATGTTTGAGCACAAAATAAAATAAGGAAATAAATTTCACCCATGAGCATGCCAAATTTCAACTTGTTGTTACTATTCCAGAATTTCATGGCTTCGTGATAAGTGAAAAACTAAACTCGCTCACCAATTAATAGTGACTTCAGTAATTGAGGACTCTCACAATGCCGTAAAACTCTCTGTAAGTAGAGTACTTCTTCATAAACTCATTCAACTTCTCATTGAAAAAAGCAATAGTCTCCACCTTAACTCGACATGGCTCTAATTCCAACATTGGAGGCATTACACTCCAACTCAAACATCTTATTAAATTTGAAAGAGCTAGAACATGATTCTGAGTAACTTATTTCTTCAAGGCATCAAAACTAGCATGTGTCTCTTCTGAACAAACAAAAATGTTAGTCTTAAGGAGTTTCATCAAGGATACCATAATGGACCTGAAATTTCTGATAAATCTTCTAAAAAAAAAATGGTCCATAAAATTAGTGTATCTTAGTGAATGACCATTGCCTGGACCAATTCACAATAGCCTTGATTTTTATGGGGTTCATCTCGGTGGGCAGTTGAAACAATATATCCAAGGAAACAATTTATTGAGAGAGAAATTGATACTTCTGAGGCTGGTCATATAGCTACTTTATTTGTAAAATCACAAACACCTGTTACAAGTGGTGTAAATGCTCTTCTACTAAATGATTGTACATCAAGCTAACATTGAAATATACAACTACAAAATTCTTAATGAAGGCTCAAAAAATTTGGTTCATCAACCTCATAGAGGTAGTCAAAGTGTTGGATAAGCCAAAAGGCATAATTAGGGATTAAAAAAAGCTTGTTATTCATGAAAAGTTCATGTTCTGCTTGTTAAGTAACTTGTATTCGATTTGTTTGTTAAGCAAGCAAGTCAAAAACAAATATTTTTTTAGAACTCGATTTATAAACAAATTAAACACAAATAAAGATTTGTTCATTCGTGTCGGCTCATGTTGACTCAAAAAAGTTAAATAATTAAAACATGATATTTATTTATATTTGCTTTTAATATAGTATTTAAAAAATGCTAAATTTTATCATTTTTAAAAAATTATTTGGGTGATATAATTATAAAAAATATAATTTTTGGTGATCGGTATGTAAATATATTGGATTTTGGTAGTATGTATGTAAATGCATCAAAAAAAATAAAAAGAAAACAAAAAAGTTGAGTAGGCCGCGGAAATGTTTCTTTCCACCTTTAGTCCCACATCTAAGAATAATATTAAATTATTGTTGTTTCAAAAGAAAAGAATAACTCTATTTTGTAAGCATTTAAAGTAGCCTGGCCATGCAGGCAGAAATGGAGTGCTTCCCAATGTTTTTGATAGTATTTAAATATAAAGAAATGGGTTGTATGAATGTGAATACCTGAAAAACTATCTTTCAAATAGCCCGCTCATTGGCTTTTAGTCCCACATCGGGAGTACTAAAGTTACCATTGATCTTTAAAAGTATAAAAGGGAATGAAAAGTGCAAAAAATCTGTGGTGTACATGATGGCGGATGATGTGCACTCAACTTGATAAAGAATTAAATGAGTGTGGTCAGCTCGTTAAATATTTAAACAAGTAGAATACACTCAGTTAAATATTTAAACAAGTAGAATACACTCAGTTAATTCAAACAGATGAGCTTATATTGAGTCGAACACGAACAGTTCATTCACAAGCCATTTCAAACACGAGTCGAACACGAATAACAAAAAATTTGAACAAGCTGAATACAAACAAGACTTGGGCTCGCTCAAGCTCAACTAGTTTACACCCCTAGGCATAAGCATCTACTAACACCGTCTATATCAAATACTGAACATGGTCTTCCACTCATTTGCGAACCTCGTTCAAATTCTTGATGAAGAGTCGAAAAATTTCCTTTGTTTATAGTGTGCTAAGAGAAACTTACATAGCATCTCCTCCAATTTGGACCAAGTAGTGATCATATTTTTTTCTCTCAAGCTAGTGCAACTACTTCAAATTCTCCCATCATAGAAAATAATTCTTCTTTAACTTAATGGCAATTAGGTTAACACTTCTATTAGATGGAAGATTCTTGCAATTAAAAATTTATTTCATTATTGAGAGCCACTTAATAAACTCGTCTAGATTCATTGACCATCAAAATCCTACAAATCAACATTCACGCCAAAATCGCCCACATTCCTCCTATACTCAATGTCAAACCAACGCAGCATTGGCTTTTCGTCATTGAAGGCTTCTTGGTGAAAGTAATTTTCATAATCTAAGGTGGTCACCATTATTATTATTGGTGACTTTCACTTATTTTCTCCTTTCAAATTCAACAAGCCTCCGCTATAATTGAAGGAATTTTAATTGAATATCATCCATGTTAAGCATCTAAACACTCTATTAAGGGTTTCTCCTTGGCATCATGTTGTCTTACTCATCAATATAGAGTTTCAACTACGATAGGATTGAGGTTCTAAGGTTGGTAGAGGGTTTAGATCTACGTGGTAGGTTTAGAAGTAAACTTTTTAAAGAGGAAGGAATATTAGATTTTGAAGGTTTAAGGTTATGGTTATAAATCAAAATTAGAATTTGGCTCTAATAACAAATAAGGTTATGGTTATAAATCAAAAGGTGTTTGAGGATCGAATCTATAAGTGAGATATTGGAGAATGGGAAGAAGAAGTGAATATGTGAGGTTCTGGAGATCGAAAGGAGAAGCGGTAGTAGTTATCGTTATCCTGGAGAAAGGAAACAGGAAACATAGTGACAAGATGTGATCGGCAAGTACAAACAGCAAGAAAGATCCACACCACCTAGTCCCGGACAAAATACAGGCACACCATTAGCACAATGAAAAGGATACAACAATCCCTAAAGTTGAATCACAAAATATAATAATAATAATAATTTAAAAATGCATAAAAATACCATAAACCCCAAAAACAAGTAATAAAAATATCTTTATATGTCGCAAAGCATAATTAACCCTAACAATAATCTAAATATGGTAAATAGTAAACCCTAAGAAGGGGCCAACCAACACATGGGCCTAGAGTACCTTGAGTTGATCCCTCCTAGACTGGTTCATGCGTCTCGAGTCTGCCTGGGAGCGGGAATAAGAGCAAGAGGGCCACCCGTGTCAACAATTGTTTGAGTTGAGTTCAATACCACTAGTATTTTTAGTTTATCTTTGATTTATCGCACAATGCATCTAGCCGATATTAATTTAAATACCTGAAAAAATGTTAAGTAAACTTGATTGATATGTACGTCCCCATGATTCCCTCCCACTTTGTCATATATTGTGTTTAAAACAAGATGAACTGAAAGGCTGACAGTGTGTTGCAATATTGATTCATATATATGCCCTCCACCCATGTTCAAGGAAAGTACTATTAGTGTTATGCAATCACATCATTAAGAGCAGAGAGTTCAAAACAACTGTCCAAATAAATAAAAACAGTTAACATCATAATTCTCTTACAAATAAGTAGGGAAATTGTTTAAGTAAAGTTTGACGGCATCACCACTCCTAATTGTTATCTTTAATATCTTAAATATTTTCTGCAAACCATTGTGTACTGCAAGGCCTGACAGCATGCATCAACATCAGTTGATACATATGTCCCAATCATAACTGAAAAATCTGGATGTTCCCCACCCCAAAAAACAACATTCATGTGAACATAAACGAATTCTAAATTCATTAAAAAACATAAGCCTCAAAATTTTACACTAATTTTACACTCTAAATGTTATAAAATTTTATGATTTTATTTGTGAATTTGGGTTGGAGAACAGGTGAGTGAAAATGAATATATAGAAAGTCCAAACACGTGGAAACATAAAATATTCATGAATATATGAGACTCCATGATCCATGAATAAATGTGATTATCCATAGATCATAAATGGAAGTCACTTTCCATATACGCCAATGAAAATGAATCTCTATAATCACCAAATTATGCAACCCACTATTCTAACGGCTGGCGTTAAAGTTCCATTTGTATGCCTATAAATAGAATGATGATTTCATTGGTAAGGGGAAGATCATGAATCTCTATTTTTCATAACTTATCACTAACAATTTATTAATTCATCTTTCATTTTCTTTCTTCTCCTCTTCTGGACATTGGCATTCAATAGTCAAAAATATTATAAATGTCATCATAAGATTCACGCTCACAGAGTTTTATATATTGGAAGCAAAATGTGCCAGAAAATTTTGCAAGGAGGCAAATTGCTCAAAGTATAATATACAAATTCGGGTGACACGACCAAATAGACTGTCCTTAGTATCCTGATTTCATGTTTCTGTCACATGCATGCTTGATACATTATCTTAAATATATTTTTTAAAAAAAATATTCAATTTAATTTAACACACATGAACCTCAAATATTTACTCAATTTCAACCAGATTTAATTTTTTGCAGTTATTTCTAAATCCATTTGACGATTTCAATGAAAACAAATAAACGGATTGCAGCCCGGCATATTCCTTTTGATATTCACTGTTCCAACATCCGACTTCAGAAAAAGAGCATTGTTGATCTGAAGCAGTTAAAAGGGACGGCCAAAGTTCCACAACAGGCAAATAGCACGGCGATTATATGCTCATTGTCGAAAAATTTAACAGTTTAGCCACAAAATTGATGAATAGGGGTGACGGGATTTGGAGACCTGGACATGGGCTTCGTAGTTTAAAGGGTTTTCTTCAAGCTGCTTCTCTAGGGCTCCAATCTCGAGTTCCTCCGCAGTTTCTTCGTCGGAATCGGAGTCTGAAAAACTAGGGCTGCCGGCCGACGCCATCTCGTCGTCTCTGCCCTCATGGTTAATGTCATCTACGTCCCACTTCACTGCTATCTCTTCCATGGAAGAAAAAAATGTGAGTTGAACTGTTCGCTCGGAGATGCTCGGAGCCTCCGACACAGCAAAACTGCTCCGGTCTCCCCTCGCGAGCTCCGGTCTCCCCTCGCGAGCTCCGGTCTCCGAAAGCCGTTGGCCTGCGTTTTTTTTTTTTGCCTAAAATGGCATAATTTTATACAATCCAAATCGTTTAGTAGGGCTGTAATGCTCCGCTCGTGTTGGGCTCCTTCCACACTTATTTGTATTTGAAATGGCTCCTGAGGCGTGTTATGTTCGGCTTGGATAATATTTTCTGTCTCAAGCTTGGGTTGAGTTCGGCTCGCAATTAGAGGAATTAGAAGAGGAAGAACAAATTCTAAGCTCTCGTCACCGAAACTCTTTCGCGATTTTGAAAGGAGAAACAGATGACTTGAAAGTGGAGGAGAGCAGCGAACACAAACGACAAACCCTAAGCTCTCGCAGCCGAACGTGTTTCGTGATTTTGAGATGAAGTACATGAGTCGGATGAGCGAAAAGCAGCCGAACCCGAGAATCGCCTGTCATGCCTTAGAAGTAACGAGTTAGGGTTGTTTAAATTTTTTACTGTTAAGCTAAGAGATGAACCTGAATATAAATATGAAATTATAGAATTTAATATAGGCTAAGAGACGAACTTTGTTATATATTACAATTTATAGGATTTAATTTTAAAATTTTGATAATTTTTTATTTTAAAAATATGTTTATATAAAAATTAATTAATTACAATTTATAATATTTAATTTTATGAATTTGTATTATATGTGTGTAAATATTTATTTATTTATTTCTTTTCGAGCAAATTCGAGTTGAACACGAGCGAACAAATGTTGGTTCGTGTTCGGCTCATTCGAGCTGCTTAACAAGCCGACACGAGCTGTTCGCGAACAACGAGCCAAATTGGCAGCCCTAACGTTTAGAAACTAGGCTATATATGAACCATAATAATTGAAGGTTATGCCTATTATTGTTTTTTTTTTTTTTTGGAAGATATATTTAAAAGGTTTCTTGTGACTAGAGTACTCCCACCTCTTCGTAGAAGTCACACAAGCAGGGATTCCCCCTTTTGGTCGAACAACCTGCTTTAGCTAGCCAACACCCAAGTGTTGTCCACCAGCCTCATCAGGTCTGCCTACCAGCTCATCGTGTCAACCACCATCTCCTCGGGTTGGCCACTAGCTCCACCCAGCTCCTCAGGTCGCCCACCAGCTCCCCGGGTCGGCCACCCACCGTCGACGTTAAAGCAAGGACATTATTGTAATATTATTTTTTCGATTGTTTTCTTCTATGAATAGAGGACCCTTTGTATGTATCTAAAGGGACCTGAAGGCCCTCTCCCTTTCAACCCCCATGTAAATGGGAACTCTTCCCTTCTTCCCACTTGTAATATTTAAGTTGTGTGGAGTAAAAGAGGCCAAAAAGCATGAGAACACTCTCTTTGCCCTTCATGGCGTAACTCTCCTCTCTCTCTCTCTCTCTCTCTCTCCCTCTCTCTCCCTCTCTCTCCCTCTCTCTCCCTCACTCCCTCATTATCTTTCTTCTTCCTTTAGAATCTGCACTAAGTTCCTTGGGCGCGAGCCAAAGAACAAATTTGGGTTTAACACCCTAAAATGTGCGATGAGCATTGACCGTGTTGCTAACAAAACGAAAAGTCTTCCGGGCTGGAGAATGTCAGATGACAAATAAACAATTAATCAAAACAAAAAGACAGAAGAATTGAAGAAGAAACAAAAGAAGAATAATAAGAAACAAGAAGAAGAATGAGACAAGATGTGGCATGTCAAAAGGCAAAAAAGATAAGTAAAAAGATGACAACACATAAAATTGATGAAAAGGCAAGGAAAAAAGACAAAAGAAAAAGAATTCTTATCATTCCATAAAAGAACAAAAAAGGAAGATAGGAATCTCCCCTCTTTACTTTATTTGTTCATTGCTCATCGAGGAAGAAAGAGAAAAAATAAATTAAAGAAAAGAAAAATGAAAATAAAGAAAAGACAAATAAAACAGAAAGAATAAAAACCAAAAAAGCATAACTTTTTCTATGGGAAAGCATTATAAAAGAAAAATAAAATCACTCCCCTTTTCTCTCTAAGCCTCTCTTCTAGGACGAGCCAATAAAGCCTCACCTTCAGGACGAGCCAAAAAAGCCTCTCCTTTGGGACTAGTAAACAAAGTCTCTCCTCTAGCACGAGCAAACAAAACCTCTCCTCTGACATGAGCCAACAAAGCCTCTCCTCTGGGACTGGAAAGCAAAGCTTCTCCTTCTGGAAAAGCCAACAAAGCCTATCCTTCGGGACGAGCAAGTAAAGTCTCTCTTCCTGGATGAGCCAATAAAGTTTCTCGTCCAGGATGAGCAAACAAAGCCTCTTCTCCAGAATGAGCAAACAAAAATTTTCTAAAAAATCGGTCATCGAATATCATATCTAAAAATCTAAAAACTTAACCGATGATCTTCTCAAAAATCTACTCATCAAAGGCCAATGAAATGACTGTTATAAAACTAAGTCCAACTAGAGACTTACGAAATAATATTTTCAGTACTTATGTGTTTTTCATTCTTATCGCAACTTCGCCGCTAAGAAGTGAAAAACTCAAGAGCTTTATGTATATCTGAGCAGGATAAGTTGTTGCATAAGTAATGAAAGCAAGGATTCCCCCATTTCGTCGGCCATCCTACTCCAGCTGGTTTGTGCCCTCGGGTAGGCCACCCAGCTCTTCGGGTCGGCCCCCAGCCTCCTCGAATTGGCCACCCAACTCCTCGTGTCAGCCACCAGCTCCCCATATCGGCCTCCTCGGGTCAGCCACTAGCTACTTGGTTCGACCACCAGCTCTTCCCCTTGGGTCGACCACCAACTCCTTGGGTCGGCCAACAACCTCCTCGGGTCGGCCACTTAGCTCCTCGAGTAGGTCACCAGCTCCTCGAGTTGGTCATCAGCTCCTTGGGTCAGCCTCCTTGGGTCGTGCAACGTGGATGTACTCCAACGCTTTTGAATAAAAATAGGACAAAATATTTTATAATGCTCTCCTTAAAGCAAGGGCATTTTTGTAATATTATTTTTTCTATATTGTCCTCTTGTATAAATAAAGGACCCTTGGTTTGTGTGAAGGGACCCAAAGGCTCTCTATCTCTCTCAATCCCATGTAAAAGGGAAATCCTCCCTTCTTTCTACTTGTAACCTTCAGTTTGTTTGGAATAAAAGAGGCCAAAGAGCCCATAAACACCCCTCTTTTGCTCCCTCGGGGCAATTCTCTCTCTTTCTCTCTCTATCTCTCTCTCGCTCATTCTTTTTCTCCTTGCCTTAGAATCCATGCTCTATTCCTAGGGCACGAGCTAAAGGACTGATTTGGGTTCAACATATACATTTGAAAAAAATAAGATGAACATGAGATTTTATATTAGTACAACATACAGAAATAGTGTTAGCACTTATCCCTCTATAACAATGAATATCATGTATTTTTACATAAGTAAATTTTATGGAATAACTTTTAAATCATACTAGTTTAAACCAATTCACATTAGAAAAAACCTCATATAAAGATAAGTAAACAACTTTATGAGAGTAAGAATTCAAAATTTTCAAGAGATACGTATTGCCATTATTGATAAGAATGTTACAGATAGCATTAAAGTAAAATTTTGGAACAATATTAGTTTGAGAGATATTACAATAGCCATTAGAAATAACATCACAAAGTTCATTATTTCTAGGAATATTAAGCCAAGTAAAAATAGAGTCTCCAAAGTACTCTTTAAGAGAAAAACCATAAAATCAAGGGCCATAATCGAAAGTAAATGGTTATTTATATTTATATGAAAAGTTAAAAGATCTTCTAATCTTTATAGCATCCTTAACAACTTCTTTCAAGAAGTTATAAAAGTGGAATGAGAATTACCCTAAATAGAACCATAATGATTTAAATACCGATTAGAAAGATAAGAATTAAAGTTTTAAGATTATCAAATAATTTTGGATTTGCACATAACATTGATAACATCTTACGAAGGAAACCCAAAGCCTCTATTATGTCTTGGCACGAAAATTTATTCTAGGAAAAATTATGAGTTCTACTATTAATGTTATTAGAATGAAGAAAATTATTAATCAAAAAAGAAATTTTTCTCCTCAAAATTTTAGGTAAAAGAGTAGAATGAAACTAATAATAAAGATAAATCTAAATGTTAAACTTCATCAACTGAAGTCTACGAGTAGTAGATAAATATTTTTTTCTTGCAACTAGCAATCCACATATGATTTTTATCAATAAGCTTATTAGTAATACCAAGATAATCCCAAGGCAAATGTTTAACAGTGAAATAATAAATATTGCAAATGTGCAATTGAGTGATAACATTCACATATTTAGATAAAGTAATGGCTAATTTGGAAACATTAACATGAAGATTTGTGGCTTTACTAAAAATATTAAGAATATTTAAAAAATAGAGATATAATGACAATTAGCCTTGAAAAAAAAATCATCAGTATAAATCAAATAAGATATTTGATCAACATTACTCCTTATTCATATGAAAATAAATCAAAATAGAAAGTGTGTCCATAACAATAACAATAAGGAAAGAAAAAACGAGGTATAGAAGAAAAGGGAAATTACTCTCTTAACTCACTATTTATAATTAGAATATATATATATATATATACATATACATATATATATACACATCTATACATATATATATAGATGTGTGTGTGTGTATATGTATATGTATGTATATGTATAGAGATGTATAGATATGTATATGTATATGTATATGAATAGAAATAACTCAAAAGCTTTTAGGCACTCTTCATCAAAATTAAAAATTGCATCTTTATCCAAAAAATGGCATAAGGGCTTAGCAATTTTTGAAAAGTCTTTAATATATTGTCTGTAGAATCTAGCATGCCCTAAAAAACTCCTAATTTCCCTTAAATTTATTAGATAAGGTAAATTAACAATCTCTTGAATTTTAGTAGGATCTGCTTCCATACCATGTTCTGATATTTTATGTCCTGATACGATTCCTTCTGCTATCATGAATTGACAATTTTCCCAATTAAGGACTAAATTTGTTTCTTTACAGCACTTAAGAAATTTTAATAAATGTTCTAAACATGAGTCAAATGAAGTTCCAAACACTGAAAAATCATCCAT